CCAACACACACACACACACACACACACACACACACACACACGCAGACAGACAGACAGACACACACACACACACACACACACACACACACACAAACGCAGACCGACACAAATAAACACACACATACACACGCAGACAGACACAACTCACAGACCCACACACATTTCCTTACACAAAAGTGGAAGAGGGGTTGAACCTTGAGATGTCTGAGGCATAATAACATACAATATGACGGTTACATTTCATCAGGAATGAACAACAACAATAAGAAAACAGAAAAAGTAAGAGGGCGTGTAGCTTTTACAGGCAAAGAGGAGGAATGGTAAAAATCAAGAGTTACTGTACAGTAAAAATGACAGTCAGTTAGAAGTAGACAGAATTGTGAAGAAGAGGTCGAAAGGGGGCAAAACGGTATGGGGGGGAGGGGTTGTGGGCAAGGGGCAGACGGATGATTTGGGGACAGGGGAGATTAATCATGGCTATTGAGGCTACAGGCAGAACGCCAAGTACATGAAACGACCAAAGGCATCAATAAAAAGGGATGATTTCGACGACACGATAATGTACAATAATGTCTGTGCTCGGTTGATGTTTGATGACGATGATGGTGGTGATGATGATGGTGATGATGAGGATAATGATGACGAAGGGGAGGAGGAGTAAACTTGGAGAAGAAGAAAACGGAGAATGATGACTAAAATGAATACAATTATGATAAAAACTACTTTTCAGAGATAATGCATAGGGCAAGAACATTTTGACTAAAGCATATAATCTGGGAGAATGAAGGATAATATCAGACGATCAAATGCGTTGTGAGTTTCAAGGGCCACAATGAGGGTTTGAAACAACAGGAAAAAAGATTTGTACGTACATGTATGTGTGCGTGTGTATATGTGAATGATGTATATATGTATGTACAATTAGTTTGTAATATTATAATACACATCTAGTAACTCTAGTAAATTATAAGCAAGAATTTTGACTCACAATTGTTTCCAGTTTCCAAGCGAAACTGTTTCTCTTGTGTAATTCGAAGATGGTAATTTGGGTTTGTTCTGTATCAAAATACCCCCCCCCCCTTGTGTTTTGAAGGAACTCAATCAAAATATTGCTTATAATTTTCTGTGCAGTGTTCCGTAGCTAAGCTGAACGAATGAATTACTCTAAAAGACTAGCATTTTCTCTCCTGTTTCTCCTCTGCCATTTACTTTTAAAGGCGTTCGACAAGCGCAAAAAAGAATAGCTTTTTTCTATTCATCAAAAACTCGACACGGCAATTTAGCGTAAAAGAGTATTCTATGCTGTTATTCAATCAGTCTTCTTCCCCAATCTTTTATCAGATAAGCAGTAATTTCATTTATTTGTTTCGGTTTCACTTTCATTTCATCGATTGATATATTATATCATTATTTTCTCTTCGTCTTGTCTGTAAGTTCATTCAATTTTGTAATCCTTATTTTATCCTTCGATATTTTCTTTTTCTTTTTCGTTTTATCCATTAACTCATAATTTAGTTACTCTGTAGTGTATCAATCGATCAAGTCACCATCTCTGGGTACACAAGCGGATGTTGTGGATTTCACTCGCTTATTTCTTACTTCAGGGGCTCACCCATTTACGTATATATTTCATTTATTTCTTCTTTATTTAACAGTTGTACTATTGATTCATTCATGATCCAAAAGAAAATAATTAATTAGAACTGTAAAAGTCCGAGCCCAATCAGCTTTGAATCTCTCCACCTCCACCTGTATACAGCTTGTTTGATGACCATCCGTAGCCTAGAGTGTGTTTAGGGTACCCTTGGCAAATGTATTTGCTAGAACGTTTTTAAAAATAATATGTTTACCACTTTTTGTGTGTTTACTACACAGAACTGTGTCTGCCACTTTCAAACAAACCCATGTCACGGCAAAGCTTATTATTTCAAGAGATTAGAACTTCAACAGTTTAGAGTTCAGCGGAGCGTTTAATCTTTGTATATTTTCTTATTTCATTTCTGTTGAAAATGGGGAAAAGTTCTAATATTATAGTCTCACACAGTTGAAGAAAAAGCTATACAAATCTCAGAAATGGTTTACCAGTTCATCAGAGTGACTCACACTGCTCCAAAATCCCTGACCATCTCATTAGTCAAAAATATATTAAGAAAACTAATAATTTTAGCAATAAAAATAACTAATAATAATAACAATAAAAATAATAATAATAGAAATAATAATGATAGATTGTATTTATACAGCGCTCTATCCCATTCAAGTATAAGAAGAATAAGCTCTGAGTGCTTATCTAAAGATATCAAGAGAGATAGACTATCAGACAACACAGCCTCGGCTTCGCGGAACACTGCAGCAAGAGTCACGTGACGATCAAGTACTCACTGGCGTTCTCCGTGCCGATCTCCTTGGTCATCATGTCCAGCATGTCCTGGACGCCCTCGAACTTGAAGTAGGGGATGACGTAGCCCAGGTCGTAGCCCAGGCTGAAGTGGACGCTCTCGGCCATCACGTGACACATCATGTCCATAACGTTATCCAGGCCGTTGGGCTGGTACAGGATCTTGAACACATTCCATTTGAATTTCAGGAGCTGGAGGCAGGAAGGTGGGGGTTGAGGAGGAGGGTGGGTTGGAGGGTGGGAAAGGAGGTATTGGGGAGGGGATGGAGGGGTAGATTCAGAATTAATACAAAGTAAGCACCTTCTTAATTGCAACAATATATTACCGTTTTCTTAAGAAACATAAGAAGCAAGTAAATGATTATGATTAATAAAAGATTGTTTCCTGCTGGTATAGGATCATGAACCCTCTCCACTTGAATTGCAGAAGCTGGATGGAGAGAGCTGGAGGTGGGGGGTGGAGGTGGACAAGTTATAAGTGGTTAGGTTACCGGACTCGTAACTTTGAGGTTGTGGGTTCGGGGGTTCGAGCCGCGGGCCCGATGGTGTGTCCTTGTTAAAGACACTTTACACGACTTTTCCTCACCTCAACCAGGTGGGAATGGGTACCCGGCCATAGACAGCGAAAGATCTTGTCAGTATGTTAGTGTTTTAGCGCTTTTAAATGGCTGCTTGCACTGTATGCTTCCCAAGAAGTTGAGGTTGTTTCAGAATGTTCTCAGGTCTGCTGTGGTAATAGTATAGAATGTGAAGCGCATAGAGCTTGCTGTTGAGCAGGGATTTGCGCTATACAAATGCTATCTATCTATCTATCTATCTATCTATCTATCTATCTATCTATCTATCTATCTATGTATCTATCTATCTATCTATTTCTATGACCTTAGAGGATGCATCAGAGTAACATTGAGTTACAGTCAGAATACTGAGTATGTATCTAGCTTAAGATTATTATTGTTTATTTTACTGTTCATTTAATATTATGCATGTGACTGTAAACGTGCAAGTGTGTGTGTGTGTCTGTGTGTGTCTGTGTGTGTGTGTGTGTGTGTGTGTGAGTGCGTGTTTGTGTGTGTGTGTGTGTGTGTGTGTGTGTGTGTGTGTGTGTGTGTGTGTGTGAGAGTGAGTGTGCATACGTGGTGAAACGTCAAACCACTGTGCCAGGATCAGGACAATAAAGATGTATCCTATACCTGATCTGATCTTATCTTATCTTAACTTACCTTATTGGGGTGGGGATGGAGGAGTAGATTCAGAATTGATACAAAATAATCACCTTGTTAAATGCAACAACATATTATTAGTGATTTCTTAAGAAACATGCACGTAAATGATTATAATTAATAAAAGATTGCTTCGTAAAATATTATCAATGTTTTAAAGCACAATACAAACTATATACGGCTATCCACATGGAGGTGGAAAATAGACTAAGAATTGTAATAAAGAGAAGGAATGTATTAATCTTCACAACGAACAGCTTTCTTCAAAATTTCAAGCATATAAATGAATAATTTTTAAAAAAGATTTGTTTAAAAAATATTATTAATGTTTTAAAGCACAATAGAAACTACACACTGTTCTCCAAAAGAAGGTGGAAACGGGGATATTGGGATAGGGGTGAGATGGAGGTAGATAGTAACAATATTTATACAAAAGTCACTTTATTAACTATTGTATAATATAAACAACCTACTTTTACTCCCAAGGCGGGCAGGATGTCCCTCACAAAGAATAACAGTGAGTTCGAAGGATGGGCAGCCACAAATACACCCCCTCCCTACCCCAACCCACCGGGCAGACAGGGTGGAAGCCCGCCTCCTACATTTTGTAAATTGTGTGTGAATGAGGGTGTAAAAATACCTTTAATAAAAAGAAAGCAAGAAAAACTTGATGCACCAGTACCAGTTGAGCAGATAGCGAAAGTTTGGTTCTTCTTGCTTAGATTGCGACACAGGCAAGCAAATAGAAACCAACTGATTCATCTATTTTGACTTTTGACGTGCCCCCGACAAAACAATCTTTTTTTTTTCTTAAAGTGTTTTACGTCGCTCGCAACTGCTAAGGTCATAATATTATGAGCTCGTTAAAAACCTCTCCGTACTGAAACGAGTAACTCCGCAACATCCAAAGATTTTAGCTAATGTTTACGTTTTTAGATTTTGCATTAGGCCTACTGTTGACTTCATGATAATAGAAATTAATTATGTTTGTACTCAGAAGATAGATCAACACAAATAAAGAATATTAATTTCTTGTCTGCGTTTGACTGTTTCCCCCCAGCATAAGTCGGCCAATGACTCTGGGGGCTCTCGTGGCCTAGAGGTTAAGGTGTTGATCTCTCATTCAAAGGTCCCGGGTTCGAATCCGGGTAGCGACCGAAAAATTTTCTTCTCTAAAATTGTCTCCTTTCATCTCCTTTCCTGCTCTCTAGCAATGTTTTGTTGTCTGCTTTCAATTCCACTTTCTGTCCCCACCCCCTCACCCCCTTTGCCCCCTGCTCTGGGCTCCTGACTTTTTCTGCAGCCTTTCTACTGCTACTCATTGACTCCTCCTTACTGCTGTCTTTCTGCCACACCCCTGATCTTCTGGTAGGAAAGATCTACACCCAGCCTTCTCGGACAAGGGCGAAAAATCTCGGAGGGCCCGTGTGCAAGTTGCGCACGTTAAAGATCCCTTGGTGGTCTAAAATCGATAAGAGTAGGCTTCGGCCGCCACCCGGGCAAAATTCAAAATTTCCTACCAACTGAAAATATCAGGTGTGTCCCGTGCGCTCATATGACCTAATGCAGTTGCGAGCGCCGTTAAACATTTTACAAAAACAAAAACAATGACTCTTGATCTGGTCAACAATCCAGGACAAACTGATTTTCCAAGTGCCACTCACCGCCCTCCCGACATTTTCAAAGTGTTGTGTTTCAATTTCTTTTTTCCAGGAAAATGTTTTTCTTTGACCTTTTGACTTGATCAGATGGTCTGAAGTGCTTTTGTCTGCGTGTGTGGAAGATAATTAAAGGCCACAAACATCACGTCAATCTGTGGAGATCTGTCGCCGGAGTGGATGAAGGGGGCGACAACCAGTAATCAACTGGTCTTGATGGGCGTGGTTAGCGTTGGGCTGTTTGTGTTTTTTCCATGAGTGTTTTTACGTCACAACAACTACTGCTCTGAACTTTGGAGAGTTTTGCTTTGAAGGACAGACAGTAGAGCTGGGCCAAGAACCGATTCCCACGATTAATGCTACGAAAGAAAAGTTCTGACTCCTTTTTACGAAAACCAAGGGTTACCAGATACTTTAATCATTTAAATCTTCTTTTGTTTATAGAATTTATTTTTGAAAAATAAAAGTTGATGCTTCGCAGTGTTCCGAAATCAAGGCCGTCCTAAATCCTGAAGATGTTCAGATCCAATTAGGTAACCATCGGAAGAAATCACATCATTAGAAAGTGAGTAGTTGGGTTCGGAGTCGATTCCTACGATTCGTAGCTTTCAATAATCGGGAACCTAGCCGCCCAGCACTAACAGACACGCTGGGCTTTGGTAGTGTTTGCGACGTGTCAGTTCACATTTTATTTCTTGGGTAGGGATGTGTACCAGCCAGCATATTATAGGCCAACATTTTTTGTTTTATTTATATGTTATTTTTTTCTTTTTTTGATTGATTGATTTAAGTTTGTATTGTTATCATCATCATTATTATTATCATTGTTATTATTATTATTAATGTTATTATTATTACTATATTTATTATTATTATTATTATTATTATTATTATTATTATCTTTTTTCAGTTGGGGGCGTTGCACTTGATAAATCCTTTGCTACTCCAAGTTTTGAAAAAGTTCTCTATATCCGAGGCACCTTATTATTTTAGGTCAAAGTGGAAATTACCACTGCCTGCATTTGCCGCTCATGTAAAAACTGTCTGCGTTTCTTCATTTTGATGCTCAATGTTGTGGATTATGAGATCTGTCGTATTCCGATTGTCAGTATTATACTATCTTTTATTAAGTGGAGTTGTCCTTGATAATTACAGTAGCCACCTGGAGTCTACTCTAATATGTATTTTTCCAGTTTCCAAGGACTTTCAAGCTACTGAAGATACCAAACTTTGGCAGCCATTTTCTCGCTAAATGTACCCTTGAAACCAGGCAACCTCATCTGCTTCAAACGCAAATATCTTGACTTCTATCCAAGATAGACGGGTAATTTTTTTTTTCGTTGACCGCAAGGCAAATAAATAAACTTTCAGAGAATACCAATAACTGCATAACATGTCAAAAAATTGACGAACGCCTGATTTTCCCAGGTCGTGACATATTTCTGTACCCGAACTAAACAAAACATAATTACTGGCCTAAGTCAAGATAACCATTTTTTTAATGGACACATACTCATTTTTCCGAAAAGAGTTGAAAAAAAGAGAAAGATTTGTTTCGATTTCGCAAATAATCTTCCCAGAGACAAAAATGAACCGATCACTGTAACTTATTGACGTTGGTCAACACACTTGGCACCCTCACCCACGGCTCACAGTTTGATCCTAGTGTCCTGTAACGACTTCTGTTTTTCCTCACTCCATGAAGGAATAAACTTTCTTCTGCTCTCCCCCCCCCACCCCCCACCTCCCCCCACCCCACCCATCCTGACGTGCCCCTAGACCCAGCTGTCATCACACAGAGACACAGACAATTTTCAGGCTGAAGCCGCAGACAACAAAAGCAGCAAAAATCGCTTCACACTCCGCAGGGGTGACGTCTTCACCGTCTCCCGCCTCCCAGCTAATGACTACAGTAATGAATCAATAAGAGATAGAGCGTGCGACGAAGCAGTGCATAGAGTGCAAGCAAATAGTCGTCTGAAAGAGACATGGTGGCTCTATGACTAGGAATCTCCCTGATCGAAAGAAAACTGGACGATAGATTGGAGCGTCTGAACAGACTACACAGCTCGATAAAACGGACATTTCTCGTATACGATGAATCTGATAAACTGTATCGTTGCGTGTAACCTGGGCTTTACTCTCGAAACAAACTGTATTCATTCTACGCGACAATCCAAGAGCCATGATAAAGAAGTCTGCACCAGTGCTGCTGAAGAATTTTGAGGACGTTGATTAAAGTATTCCAAAGAGAGGAGACAACCGCCTTGGTTATAGGGCGTAAGAAATGTGGTAGTTTTAAAAACATTGCTAAGCTTTACTGAAAGCCCACTTGTCAGTATAAAGCTTCGGCTGCTGTGGTGTGAGCTAAGTCCGCGTTTGGAATAAATAAGAGTGAGGCCCAAAATGTGCAATTAACTATTTGGGAAATTCCTCTCACCAAAATAGTCTGGAACGGCCGAAGATTAGGGAGCACCCATCCCAGAAAGTGCTTGTAAAATTAAGTAGTATGTCTAGTAAGATTATAATTCTAAAAAAAACAAACAAACAACAATGCTAATTAGCATATATTTATTTTAGAGCAAACGAAACGTTTTGAAATTTTCTTTTCCAGCGTTGAGTCCGATTTTTTCGAATAATTCAAGCCCTTTGCTTGTCCGATTCAACAGGTTTGTGACATAAGACTACCTTCCTGGACGCGCGCGCGTTAGGAGTATGAAAACTAGCAGTTTGCGCAACAATAAGAGTACAACTTCATCTGTGGTCAACACATCTGCCTGACATGTTCACACTAATTAATCCCAACTGTTGAACCAAATGGGGGCAAGCTGGATGAGTATGAAAAGACACTGTCAATACAATAAGGAGTGAAAACATAGGAAGAAAATAGACGCAACAAACACCCTCAAAGCTTAATCAAAAGTAGAAATATAGACAGTTTCCTTATTTAACACAACAGCTAACGTTAAATGCTTTTTCTGTTGATGAGTTCAGCTTTCCACAGACTATTAAAATGAGCATCTTCGTATGTAAATGTTTACTTGACACGGCGTCAAAGAAATACTTCAAGATTGGATTTAATTATTAGTTTCATTATCTTTAAGCTGAAAACCCATTGGTACTTGGGGTAGATTTAGTCTCCAATTGGCTTGACCTTCTTCTGCCCTTTTGTCCTATTTTGACCCGCAAAATTGGATCTGAAACTCCGAGAATCAGAACAGATCTATCTCTTAGAATGCAGAAAACTATTTTGCATAATTGATAAACTTCTAAAATACCGGCTTTTCAGAACTCCATTTTTTAAAATATTTTCGAATTAAATTAATTTATTTAAAAATCCAATTTTTAGACATCACAAAATAGCCCTTGAATCCTCATCTATTTAGCCTTTTTAGATAAAATTGATACAAGTACAAAACTGAGTAGACACGAAAGCTCCATGCAATAAACATAGTTTGGTTATAGATCAGATGAAATTGCTTGGATTTAGATTTATTGTTATGAGCGTAAACAACACAGCAATGCTACGAGCCAGCTAATCTGGTGGGCCAAATATACACAGGGTTAATGAGAATGAGTGTTGGCGTGACCACAAACAAGACAAGGCTGGTCTTTATGAGCTCAGCTCTTCTTTCTTTGTGTTGTCCTCACACTACTGATTGACCTCTTTGATATGCCAATGTCCGTCTGTTTTCATGTCATCGGCTTAATCTCGTCTATGGTTGGGGGAAATGGAGTCTGGTATTAAATATGGACAGTGCATATGATTAACCCTGAATGTGGGTTTTAAAAATACATAATACATAACAATTAGTTTGTGCATCTATGTTACTGCATTGTTTCAACGTTGCTACAATTAATGTCCATCTTCGAGATAGGTGGATGGAGAGCCTCGAAAACTTCGTCTTGCTCTTCTTCTTCCATCCCGTGGTTGAGGCAACCGTTGGGGCATCACTGCACCTGACAATTAGCTCTCGACGTTTCTCTCAGTCTTCTTCTTTCCTCAGATTGTCACCCATCGTCTACCCTGTCCACTCTGTGATGTCGTCCTCCCATTTCCTTCTCTACCTTCCTCTCTTTCTATTTCTTTGTATTTATGAACGCCCAGATACGGGGTTCGAACACAGACATTCGTGCCGTGGTTTAATGTGATA